AATTAAATAATACTAACCAATCATTCTTACACATTACATCAACTTTAATTTATTATTCATTCACTCGCATAATTTTAACTAACTATCATTTCATATCATCGCTTTCCTACTTTAAGTTCAATTTATGATTTGGTGACCCAGAGCATGTAATTTCATTAAAAAATTCAAGAGTATGAGGATCTTAAAGAGAGTCGATGTCAACATCTGACTTTCATGCGACATCGAAACTTATATCAGTTTTTCCCATGGATGCCTTTGAAGAGATTATGTACTCATTAACCGACTCAATGATCTTAACTGTTAGAGCAAGTATAGCTTTGTCCTTGAAATAGCTAAGATCTCCGGTTGCACGCCTGAACATTGAGTAAGTTCTCGATAATAGTTGCAATAAAATCCCCATTTGATTTTAGAATAATGTCATTCAAAATATGATGGTTGCACTTCCGTTGTTCGAACCTCCAATTGTATTGTCCCCTATGCTTGCAAGCCACTCTGTAAAGAGTTGCTATTCATTATACTCATCACCCCCACCAAGGCTTTAAAGTCTCATATTCTTAGTCAGTCTTAGAACGGTACAATCTCGCCACAACTTAGATGCATTAGTTGTTGCATTCACAATGCATTAGGACAATCATAAGGGATATCTGCCTAAAATTACCACCAAATAAAATAGCTTTGCAGCCAAATGGGAGGTTTTTCCTCGATGGATTCTCTAGTGGGAGCCATGTGTAAGGTTTTTTCCTAGGCTTCTAAACTGTTAAGATCTAGGTGCTCTGTGAATTTAGTTGGAGCCTCAACGCAGTTCAGTTTTCTCGTCGTGTGATATTTCTTGTTCGTTTCCATCAAAGCCAAAGATGCTCCCCCAATTTATATTTTTCTCAACCACCTCATCTATTGGATCTTCATCGTCATAGTACCACAACTCATTCTCGAGATGAAAGCTTAAGAGTTCCACAGACAGGTCTTGTGCTGAATCTCAAACTTCAATTCATCCATACAACTTCACACGACGAAACATATCTAGAATGACAATACATCTTCACTTCGTCAACTAGTCTTCTAGAGGAATCTTCACCACTGCTCTCATACAAGGTGGAAGTAATGCAATCATTTCCCTTGTTCATGTATGTGAACACATAGTTTATTGATCTCGACATGTCACACCACTCCATACTTATATGCACGCGTATTTAGCAGTAATCTCCTTTAATGTGGAAGAACATATCTATTATCTAGTGGAACACTATTTTTCTCTATTATTCCACCATTATTGTTGCTTGTATCGAGGATAGTCTTGCTCATTAGGGTGATTGTTTCAGAGAATGTTCTTGAAAAATCTTTGGTGCAACGACCATTCACCTTACACATATTGAGCGTACACTTCCTCAAGAGCCGTGCATCATATGACCTCCAACGACAACATAGTAAAATGGATCAGTGGCCTCATCCAACCTTTTAGTAGATATTTTTTTAAATGCCGCCAATAGTTTGTATCTTGTACTCTTTTGCCAAAATTTGCAAATTATGAGCATGGTAAGACCTTTCGTTTGAAATTCAATCGTATATATTAATGCAATAAAATATAAAAGTTGCATATAATACTTTGTATATGTGGGATGTTTGTAGTTTTTAGCCGATTACAGAAGAGTCCCGATCTTGGGTCGTATCTCTCAGGAAAACTGTTTGAATCAGATTCGCACGACTGATTCTTAAAAATGGATAATAAAGTACTACACGCGCCAATTAAAAATGAGTTTTTGGGTTAGTCCGGCACATAAGCAGGACATTGATAAGTAGGAAAGACATTGGAAAGTACGACTATTTTGGGATACCCCATAGGAATGAAGAGTGGTTTATTCTATAGCGGGATCAGAGGGTGATAATTAGCACGAATGCTCGGTTCTTGGAAGATGGCTATATTATAAACATAAAGCCCACTAGCAGAATTTTTTTAGAGGAGATGAGAGGCTGGTACTTTAGAACCCATAGTGCAAGATAATATAGCATAGAATACTATAACACATGTCATCGACGATGCACCCGTGTAGGTAGTACCTCGTCATAGTGGGAGAGTTCTTAGGCATCCGGCAAGATACATGCTCGTGGGAAATGTAGGTAGTACCTCGTCATAGTGGGAGAGTTCTTAGGCATCCGGCAAGATACATGCTCGTGGGAAAGCCATCGGAATTAGTCTCGGGTGAACATGAGACTGACCCATGGACGTACGATGAGTTACTCCAAGATAGGGACGTAGAGTCTTGGCAACGTGCGACGTAGGCTAAAATGAGGTCAATACACTCTAATCAAATCTAGGATCTTGTAGTACCCAGTGTTCTGGGAGCCAGACCGGAAGACCGGTTGAACCGGTTTGACAGGGAACCGGACATGTCAACGGTCCGGTCAGAGGAGTTAAACCGTTGGATATCAAAACCGAATAAAAACCGCTTGGTCCGTTCAAAAACCGGCCAAACCGGAAAACTGTAGCCATCTACACCAGCCCAGCGGCCCTTCAATTCAAACAAGGTTTAGCTCACTTTTTCATTATATACTCTTTCTTTTCTCATTAGATTACCGATGTGGGATACCTATTGCCTAGTTTCTTATTGTTTTGCTTGCTTTATGGCTTGGACCATTCAAATAGGCCCACTAAATTTCAAATCCTTGGGCCTTTTTCTTTTTGGTATATACTTGAGCAATTGCAAACTGCAAAGTCTTGGGCCCATTTTTATTTTATTTTTTATTTTATGTCCTTATGCAAAGTTTAAAATGAAAATTCTTTTATTAAAAAAATAAAAATAAAATTTGATATATTATTATTATTATTATTATTATTATTATTATTATTATTATTATAAATTTACAATTTTACAAAATAAATACAAACCTTACATAATAAGTATAATATTTTAACGTTTTTTAATTTGATAATAATGAAAATGTATAAAAATATATATTTTACATATTAAACTAATGATAAAAAATAAATACAATTATTTTTATATAGAGAGAAATGTCATTTTACGCTATAATTCTAATGATAAAAATATATATAATTATATATTATACATATAAAATAAATAAAAATTATATATCAATTAAAACGGTTCGACCGCTGGTCCGACCAGTGAACCATTAAACCAGTAGCTTCACCGGTTCGATGACTGGTCCGGTTTTCAGAACATTGGTAGTACCACTCAAGGGCATTAAGGAAATTGGATGTTATCAGGAATTGGTTGACAGATTGATTAGTTCATCGTGAGTGACGATTGTTTGATTACATGTCTCTAAACTTTTGAGTGTCTTTTTTCTACCTAAGTTCTTAGGGTTCTTTAGTCCTTTTTTCATTTTTTTTTTCTTACAAATTAAGGATTTTCATTCGTTAAAGTTCGAGTCTTGTTTTCATTCTTAGCTTCAATTAAGTTCAATTTTTTTTTTTTTGTTGGGTACAAAGATGGAGGCCGAGGCCTGGAAACTATGATGCTAGTACTCGACGGGGGTGGGTCACCCCACGGAGATCGTGGTCCATCCAAGCAGACAACCCTTGAGGGGGTGACGAGATTCTCTGGAAGCCTAGCGGGGTCGAAGCCGCTAGTGACGCCAAATAGTCAGCTGCAAAGTTGGCTTCTCTATGCACATACTGGATCCAAATACTCCATGGTCAATTGAGTTCAATTTAGCATTAAACAACCAACCAGATTGCTGAGTAGAGTGTTTAAGACTTTATTTTTAAATTTTTGTTAATCAATCATTACTTGAATCCAATATCGAACAGTCTTCCTTTAAGAGACGACCCTAGGTTGGTCTTACGATCGTACTCGGCAAAAACACTACAAACTGTAAAAATATGAAAATATGTGCAAGAAGATGATTTGCGACTAAGATGCTACAGACTTGCGATTGACCAAACTATTCACACAAATAATTGCATATTCCTCGCCTGTATGTCTGTCGCATAGTTTATCGCATAATGTTTACGCACTTCCTCAATTAACTTTGCATATATGTCGCATAGTTTGTTGCATAACGAGATGGCACTTGCTCAATTATCTTTGTCATAATTATTTTGCACTTGCTCAATTAACTCCTCCGTTTGTCCCGTACAACACGTGTCAATATAATTGGGCCCCACACTCTTCCTTCTCCGGAGCAACCCATTTCTGTCTCATCTTCTTCAACATTTCTGTCTGCTGAATGAATGTCTCATGAAAATTATGCAGACCAATCACATTTTTCATAACTGATCAAGCCATTTTCTTCGCTTCCTCATTCGACGGTCTCACTAGTTTTATATCTCCTATTTATGCCCTTTTTCATTTGTTTTTTTCTTTGAATAGATAAAATAAAATAGTTAATCTCTCTCTTTTTTTTTTTTTCTTTTGCCCCTCCATCGTTGGAGTTCTTAGGCACTCCTTTTAGATCCGAAAATTCATCTCCCTCTCTCTTTTCTATATGGGTTTTCCGTATCATCATTGAACAAAAATTCCCTTTTAAAAAACAATAATAACAATAATATTTTAATAAAGATTTGTTGGGTTATCGTTGATTGAAACAAAATCAATGATTCTTGACACTCCATAGCAGTGAATTTTGGAGCAGCCATTGTTTTTCTTTTTGATTAATTGTATGTTTTGCGCCCACCAGAGAAGAGTCCCCTTTTGTTTCTTCATTCTCTTTCTTTTTTTTTTCTCCGTCGAATTGATTGTCTTGTCGGAATTCGATAATTTTCTTGGTTTTTTTTTTAAAATGGGGTTTGAAAAGATCTGATTTTGTGATATAGTTTGCTTCGATATTCGCTTCCCTCGATCGTAGTGGCAAATACTGATCGATTTAAGAAAGTTGATTCAGACAACAAAATTCTGGGCTCAGGCATTGTGTGAATTAGGATCCAACGTTGTTGCGACTGAGTCACGCATAGAAAGAACAGGCGTTAAAAAATTTTGTTTACGATCTCCCAAAATTTGTTTACCGTCCCTGAGAATGCTGTTAAATGCTTCAGCTAAATGCTGGGGATATTAGGGGAAAACAAGCTGGTCCTATGCTTTAGAAACATCAGGTTTCCTGTTAAGAAAAACAGGGGCCTGAAACTCTTCTCCTTGGGCATGGGCTGCATTTGCTCCAAAGTATCAAAGGATGAGAACGAGGTCAAGAACGAGAAAGGCTCCAAGGAATCCTCGAAAAAGTCGGTGAGGAAGGAAGATGTTGCTGTCGAGGCTGATAACGGAGGCAATGAAGCTACCGCAAGTCTTATATCGACAGAAAATGTGGAGAAAAGCGTGAGGCCCACAGGTGATAAGAAGCCTATGGTTTTCGAGAAGGCTGTTATCGGGCCCCATACGGTCGAGAACGGGACCCATGTAGGGAAGCCTCAGATTTGTCGGGTGTTGAGCATGAGGAATGGGGTTGACGGGTCACAGGTGGTTGCGGGGTGGCCGCCTTGGTTGACCTCGGTGGCAGGGGAAGCCATTAAGGGATGGATACCTCGGAAGGCGGATTCTTTCGAGAAATTGGATAAGGTGTGGTGTAATAATCAGCTTTTTTGTCTATATATTTACCAAGAGTATGATCGTTCTTGTTCTATAGGTTGGTGTTCTTTGGGTGAGAACATTTTGGGTTTTTTGTTCTCTTAGAATATAATGGTGTTACTTTTTTGTCTGTCTGAATTCACATAGTTTTGTATTCGAAAGGAAGTATGGTGGAACATTGGAACTAATAATGATTGGGGTGTTGATTTTTGCCGACTTTGGCCTTTTTGGGTTGGGGAAGATACGACATTGATGTGAAAGTACCAGTTGCTACTTTGTTTCTCAATTGGACATTTTTTCTAGTTTTAGGTTCTCCATATGCTGCTGCTATTACTGCTAATGCAGGTCCTTCATATGCCTCAAAGACTGGTTATATTTGTTGTACAATGTTATTATTTTGACCAGATAAATGAGTTGCTTTCCTGTTGGCAATGCATGCTATGAACTAAGCATTAAATTAGCTCCGAAGCAATTTCAGGGAATTTATCTGAAACGTTGACATTTCTTGTTTCTAATTTGAACTGTTTCTACTGTAATGCAAATCTCCCAGATTGGTCAGGGTACATACAGCAGCGTGTATAGAGCTCATGACCTCGAAACTGGAAAAACTGTCGCTTTGAAGAAGGTACGGTTTGTGAATATGGACCCAGAAAGTGTCCGTTTCATGGCCAGGGAAATCCTTATCTTACGCAGGCTCGATCACCCTAATGTCATGAAGCTTCAAGGTCTTGTCACTTCTAGGGTTTCAGGGAATCTATACTTGGTATTCGAATACATGGAACACGATCTTGCGGGACTTGCAGCTTCACCACTAGTTCACTTTACTGAATCTCAGGTGTGTTGTTGGTATATTATTTTCATTCTATTTTTGTTTCGTTACTATAGTATTTAGGAAAGGATGGTCATATCAAGATGGCTTAAATCTGGACACTGTGTAAAGTAGGGCATTCAATTAGCTCTATAGTCTGCTTCATGGATGTAGTGTCTTTTATATTCACGTTATTGACGACAATTTTACGTAATGTGCAAGCAGATAAAGTGTTTCATGCAACAGCTGCTTCGTGGGCTTGAACACTGTCATAACCGTGGAGTCTTGCATCGTGATATTAAGGGCTCAAATCTTCTGATTGACGGTCATGGAAATCTTAAGATTGGTGATTTCGGGCTGGCCACCTTTTTCCGGGCCAATCAAAAGCAGACCCTAACTAGTCGTGTTGTAACATTGTGGTATCGGCCTCCCGAGCTTTTACTTGGTGCTACGGACTATGGCGTAGCTGTAGATTTATGGAGCTCGGGTTGCATTCTTGCTGAACTATTTGCGAGGAAACCAATCATGCCCGGAAGAACAGAGGTACAATCTAAATTTAATAGCTTTTTCAGTTGTTGAGGTCCATTTAATTTGAGTTTTCTTGTCTATAGACTACATAGGATGATGCTAATATCCGGTGGACAGAGACAGAATCTTATTGCTTAATTGTTGTGTGAATTAAAGATGGTGCTATTTTCCATTTGGGATGTGAAAATGTTTGTGCTTGCTTATGCTTTAGAATTTCCCTTTAGTGTTCTCTTTCTCCGAATTGTGATTTCAAGTGTGGCTCACGGGAATACCTTTGAATAGCTCTGGCAAATATGTTAATTTGATGTTATTTTGGTTGTATGTTTCCCAGCCTTGTAAGGATGGCCTCACTATATTCTTTGACATAACCTATATTAACTGTTTTAGTTGCTAGATCACATTATATTCAACTTCATGTTCGGTTTACTCAGATCATCACAGTGGTGTTAAAGAACTTGTCTTTAAGTTTCATTTGGTGCATATCTACAGAAACTTGTCTGTAAATTTTACCGCAAGTTTCTTTTTCTTGATGTTTCTATGGTTTTTTCTCCGAAACTCCAACATTGGCCTTTTTTTCGGGGGAAAAAAAAATCTGATTGACTATGTATGCAGGTTGAACAGCTTCACAAAATCTTTAAACTTTGTGGTTCACCCTCGGAAGAATACTGGAAGAAATCAAAGTTACTGCATGCTACAATCTTTAAGCCTCAGCAACCGTACAAGAGATGTGTGGCTGAGACATTTAAGGATTTCCCTCCTTTGGCTTTATCGCTTCTAGAATCTCTTCTTGCTTTTGAACCGGAGCTTAGAGGGTCAACAACTTCTGCACTTCACAGTGAGGTAACACATTTTTTTCCCTCTTTTCATTTTCTTCCTGTAGCAACTTTGACTTTCCCAAGAGTGGTCCCTTGAAATTTCGATTTCGATAATTGGACTTACGTGAATAAGGTGGCAATGTACCTTGTATATTTTCTCTTCTTTTTTGAGTAGTCAATGTGTCAAAATGTCGTAGTAGGTTTCCATGATGCAAACTGCACGAAAATATTACGAAGAGGGGTTAAGCTGTCTGCCCCAATTGATCATGTCTTGTCTCAAATGCTGTTGTGTTATTATGTGGTCTTAGTTTGTCCTGTTTTATTTTTTCATTTAGTTACATTTCCTTCTTTTGTTGGTCAAAGCATAAAATATAGCTATATTTTCGTGAGTTGTTTATTCACGAGTCACCTCTTTTCAGTTCTTCACGACAAAACCTCTACCTTGCGACCCGTCATCTCTACCGAATTACCCACCTTGCAAAGAATATGACGTCAAAGCACGAGATGAGGAGGCAAGAAGGTATGCATACCATCTGTATTGACTTTATGCATGTATACTTCTTAGTTCATAAGTTATATGTCTTGTTTGTTTGTTGACTATGTTCTCACTTCAACCATGATGCCGCATAACTCCAGACAGAGAGCGGCTAGTGGAAAGGGAGGCCGAGTCGAGTCATCCAGAAAAGTCTCGAAAGCAATCCCAGCACCTGATGCTAATGCTGAGCTGCCAGCTTCAGTACAGGTATATATTATTCTCAGTAAATTACCGAAATTGCCCATCATGCTTAGCATTTTATTTTAGGATCTTATTAGACATCCCTCTAAATAAAAACCAAAAACATGAGAGGACTTATAATCCTCCCATCTCATATTTCAGAAGAGGAAAGGGCAACCGAATCCAAAGAGCAACAGCGAGATGTCGAGAGGATCTCTTCGTAACAACGGCCCATCTGAAAATCCACTGGATGCTTCCCATGAGGTGATTGACTCCTCGGGATATCGAGACCTAAAGACTCAGAGGTCTTTCAAGCCACAGGGGACCGCTGCCCGACTGGCTCGGTTCTCCAACTCGGTTGCGGCCCGGGGCAGCTCACAGCTTGATTTCAGCCGAGATTCGAGTGTTCACGCAAACTGGCGGAATCCATATGAATGGATGGAAGATGCCGAGCAGTCCAATAATCTGCTGGGAAAAGCCGAGTCCACATACAAGATCAATGGGCAGGCACCTAATCTGAAGGAGGCTAATATGGTAATGAATTCTTGCTCTCTCTCTCTCTCTCTCTCTCTCTCTCTCTCTCTCTCTCTCTCTCTCTCTCTCTCTCTCTCTCTCTCTCTCTCTTACTATCCCTCGGGTTTAGTTTAGTTATGAGAAAGAATCTAGTTGTCTGTCTATCAAATACACAAATATCACCTGGAAGTTTGTTTGTGGCCGCACTTCGTAAAGTAGAATCATATTTTCTTACGGTGATATCTATAATTTGGAAAGAAGATCCTTATCAAGGAAGCTGACTTTTGTCTTTATCTATTTTTTCCTTAAACTTTTGCAGGGTTATGCTTTCAAGAAGACAAGAATGCACTATTCTGGTCCATTGCTGCCTCCTGGTGGAAGTGTGGAGGAGATGCTTAAAGAGCACGAAAAACAGATTCAGATAGCTGTTAGAAAAGCTCGTGACAAGAGTAAGAGCAGGCTATGCCAGCTCGATAATGCACATACTGATTCACTCTTAGGATACGTAAATGGCCGCTGATTATAGAAGGTTCAAACTTCGAGCTGCTTCAAAATGTGCATGTCCTCTTTTACCTCTGGATTGTATATTTTTACTGGGTATCGAGCGAGTAAAAATATTTGCCGTTTTCTGCAGCAGACGAGTAAGTAACATTTAGTTCATGTTCATTGTTAGCTTGGCTTTGAAGATGGAGAAAAAATCTGGAAAATGTAAAATGTAATTTTCTTATCT